AAGCGATACTTTAATTCTAACAACTTATTCATTTTATTCAATGTATTTGACATCATCGACATTTCGGTATGAAAGAGACCTGATTCTATGACCTGTAATAAGTTTATTCAAGATTAATAAATGGAATTTCTTAATCTAACAAACATGCGATTAATTTTAATATAAAGACCTGTATAAGATTTGTGTACTAGGAATTTTCGAATTTTAAATTTGTTATTAAACGGATAAAAAAATTTTTATATCCGTGCATGTTATCTGCTTCCTTAGAAATGATTTATAAAAATAATTTAATTTTAATTACTGATCTCATAAGAATAATTATTTTAATCTTTCTGTTGAATATATAGAAATGTACTAGGAAATAATAAAATTTGTCTCAGTTTTCTCTCTCTGTCTCTCTCTCTCTCTCTCTCTCTCTCTTTTCTTTTTTCCTTTCTCTTTTTCCTCTCTAAATTATAAAAATTGTACTCGCTAAATCAACTTACCAATTTTTGTCGGACACTTCCGAGTTCAGGTAAGATTTTGAGGATAATTGATTTTTTCTCTTTAATCCTATGGCTGTCTTGGTCGCGCGAATATTCGGCAGTAATCCTGATCATGTCGCTGGTGTAGTTGTCACCCTTGGTCGTGGCTGGTTTCGAAAATATATCTGTCACCTGAATCGAATTGTCATCTTCCGATTTTCGCAGAATGTTCTCCACGAAGCATAGATTCAGCCATGTCGACGTTTCTAGGGCCATTTCTGAAAGTGGAATTGCAAAATTTTGTCATCAAATTATTGTTCTTCCCATCGCACTAAAAATATAATTTTTGACAATAATTTACTCGCGATGAAATTTTCATTATGTTTTTTCTTTTCTTTCCTGCTCTGGTTTCCTTCACAAACTCATTCCGATGTTTCTATTGTTTCCTTCATCTTTCTTCGCTATTTTTTCAGCGCTTTTTTTCATTTACTTTATTGTGGTATCTTTATTTATATTTATCCATATTTAAGACGGCTGTATTTTATTCCATTTGAGATCTGTTTAAATTAATGGAAAACCGATTGTTCTTTTCTTCTTTTAATACAGCATACGTGTATGCCGTTAATGAACGCATTAAGACTTCGTCGAATATAATATTTATGATATGTACGAAAAATTTTGACACGCGTGTTGTGTTGCGATCGTGTATTGAGAATTCCAATTAATTTTTTATTTTTAAAAATAAATCTTGATATCATTGAAATTAATATTCGATTTATTGTTTATTGTTTATTGGTTTATCATTTGGCCTAATCTTTATATACCCCTCTGATGACAATATGTAATGTGCTCCTATCCGATATGTAAAATTATAGTGGAGAAAGAAAAAATCCAAAAAAATCAGGGCGAATGAGAGTCAAATTATAGGGGATATTGAGGACAGTTGTAACGAAGGTTAGTTGTAATAATGCATATATCTTTTAAATAATAAGAGATATTTAATGTGCTCCTATCCAATATGTAAAATTATAGTGGAGAAAGAAAAAATCCAAAAAAATCAGGGCGAATGAGAGTCAAATTATAGGGGACGCGAAGGTTAGGGCCTGAGCACAATAGAGGAACAGGAATTAGATATTAAGATTTTAACCTATCAGAAACTGATTACATCGGAATACACGGTTTCTGATAGGTTGAAATCTTAATATCTAATTCTTGTTCCTCTATTGTGCGCAGGCTCTTATAGTTATAACAATGCTTTTAAATAATAAGAGATAAGATGGACATATGAAGAACAAAAATAGTCGGTATCGAGGCGTGTGTTTGCCTCATGACATCAACCGCGCATGCGCCGCATGTAAAAGAAGTTATATGTAAAGTGCTCAGATAAGCCATGTAAGTGTAAATTTACGATGTTATATTTTTTTGTTTTAAATTTTCAAATAAGATGCTTTTTATCATGTTTTAATTTTATTAATTCTAAAATATGTTTTCTCAAGCTGTCTTTTTTTGATATTTTTGAGTGGTTCAAATATATTTATATAAATTTTTACAATATCAGTTTGGAATTAAAAGTACCACCTCGCCAGGGTACATTGTAACACCATTACATTCAACGATAAATGTTAAAAAGAGCCCACTCACCTCAAATTTTGATAAAAATACACTGAATCGATGCGTTTTCGCGTAAAGATTTGACAAGAAAAAAGTGTCGCTCTGTTTCGTAAACAGAAATATTTTATGTTGACGACTATTCAGGTTAGGAAATCTGCCACAGCCACGAAATACTGCAATGCAAGCACGCGCTGAGGTCACATTTTCATGCTCTATGGCCGCGAATGCGTTGTAAATTCTTATTGTAATAGATATTATTCACTGCTTTACAAACATAAATTCACTGTTTTAAAAGCAAATTATCTGTTCTGAAACACAAGTTTACTGTTTTAAAAACACAAATTCATTGCTTTGAAACAAATTCTCTGTTCTAAAACATGAATTTACTGCTTTTAGTAAATTTATTTACTGATTTAAAAAAAAATGATTAATGAATATCTAAGTAACAATGACACACCATTGGTTAAGTAATTCTATGTATGAATTAAATTAATGCCGTTCTTTTACCATTTAATTACTACTATATAGTTATTTCCGAAATCAATCATTTCTTGTAATTTCGTTCAACATCTAAAATTTCAACATAAACCCTTTTAAAATCATGATCATGATACAACCTGTGATAATTCAGTAACAACTGAATGAGTAGCTGTATTTCTCCTGATGTAAATTTTGATGTGTGTTCAAAAACTCTGATCTTCAACTGCGTCTATTAGTTCGTCCGACATACAATGGCTGCGTTCGGGATGACGCTATTAGAGCTATTTGTGACATTTTATCTTCATCGTCCATTAGACGTAAGGATATAGTATGGTACAATAATAGCGCTGATATAGCTAATATAGTTCCCCGAACACATCTATTAGTTTTTGCAAAATATTTTACGAACAACGTTTATTTTTTAAGAAAACGCAGGTAAAAAGTTTTTTGTGCATAGTCATAATTTTAAATAAAATGACATTGAAACTTTATGTGTTGAGCTAAATTACAAGAAACGACGTTTAAAAAAAAATTATTTATAGAACATTATTTGTATATGATTCTAAATTTGTCTATAAAACAAATAAAAATATGCTAAGAACTTTCTAGTAAATATCAACTAAAGAGAGTAACATATAATTTCAATGTTATAAAATAAATCAACTAATTGTATGTAAAAGAGACGTCAATTACGGTTGAAGTTAAATGTAGAAATAATATATCTATGAGTATATATATAAATATTTTTAATAAATTTAAGTCAAGTATATGATGATTACTTTCGGACTTGCAACATAATCAAACTGAAATAGTAGTATTCCTTCCAAATTAAATTAGATCTTCGATTTAGTACTACTAGCATTATAAAACCTGTAAAGAACATTGCGAAAGTGTTATCTCAACCAGGATTTTATTCTCTTATTTTAATGTTTTACAGTGTAAATGTAATGTATTATAACTTATATAACTCATATTTCACATAACAGTTACAGTTGTTGAACTGTGAAATTATGAAATTATTAATATTATTAATGTGTGTTATTTTTTTCTAATAAATGTTTAATGTATTATACTCGTTTGTAATGTTTGTACGTTACGTATGCATAATAATGTTTGCAATTTGAACTCTTTTTCTCTCAAGAACGCGATTCGTGCCGACGCTAAAATAGACTGACATTCAGACAACGAACAAAGCTTATAGAAGACATCTTTATGATATCTTTTAGATTTATATCCCAAAAGACGTTTTAATGATGTGTCTTTATGACATCTTTTAGACATGCATAATATTGCCTGGAACATTTTTTTATTTCCTAAAGTAAAATTTACAATGAAAAGGAAGGGATTCGAAGATCTGCTATCGATTCAACATACTGAAGAGAGAGTCGAGGGTGATTCAAAAAGAAGAATTTCATCAGACAATCGTTGTATAAGCGATGTAAACGTTGTTAGGAAACGGACGAAATTGTATCGAAAAAAAATGCGATGACAGAGATATTAATAAATATTCTTAATCTTTTACATGTATTTTTTATGGCTTCAATCTGAGAACATAATTATAACGTTATGTAAATTATGTTTAAAAAAATTACTAAACTTTTTTTATTTATGTGTTTTACATACACATACAATCTAATAAAAACATGATCAGGTAATTTATAAAAAAATTTAACTAACAAAATTTTAAAACACAGAGATACTTTTTATTTGGTTAAATTCAATTACATTAATAATGTCCAATCACCAGCGTCGACAAATGATATCTCCACTATATTTTACATTAAGTTAATAGTGTATTCGTGCGACAAGCATCTCCGACTTAATATTAAAAATTTGCTATTAATAATCAACATAATCAATTACAATAATTGTACGTTACATAGTGCTAGCACATAAAAAATCAGTATATGAATTAAATCAATAATCAGCAAAATAAAATGTTTAGAAATGTTTTTTTTTAAATTGATCACCAATTTGCAATTTTGGACTCAGTAAAAAATCACAAAACTTAGGTATATCATATAGGATCCGATTATTTTATTACTTATTATTTTGTAATATTTTTTCAATTTTTCTTACGCACATGTTATACTAATACAAACTAAAATACTTTATTTGATATTTTAATTAATTTGTACGTTATTTTTACATTGGTATAATAGAATAATATTATATACATTTCTTTCAATAGTATTTTTTTGTAAACACATGTTGAATTAGACAGTATCTACATAACAAAATAAAATGTATGTAGTATGTATGTGTATATATACTGCTATCACTGATATATTATATATTCATTTTAAAATCTTAAGAATAAAAAATGAAATTACTATTACCACACAATAAATAATTTTAATTTTTTTAATCAAAAGATAAGTCGATCATAATAACTATTCCTCGTCTGTATATTTTAAAAAAGTTCTTTTTTAAAAAAGTACATTAACATAATTCTGCTTCTATTAACTTTAATGTACTTGTTATAACTATTTGCATCTAATATCTTTATTTCCTAGATTTATATTCTTTTCCTATTTTAATTTTCTATTATTAAATAGAAGTGTATACATTAAAGATCCAGTAAACCCCACTCGTCATACAGTGGCAGTCTTTTTATCAATATTTTTTTATAAGTCTCACTTTTTAAACCTGGATTTACATAAGTACCAGTGCCTAACACTTCATCTAAATCTTTAGCCTCAGTTTTATGGCATAGCATAAATTGTAAAGCGGTAAAAGATGTCATCATTCCATAGCCAGCTTTTCGTTTTAGAGCAGCCTTTAGTTCCTTCATGGTGGGCGGCTGTGTCTTGCAGTTCAACTGCTTCATAATCTTTGACAAGGTGCAAAGATATTCATTTAATAGAATATCTCTCTTGTTTTCAATGACATCGAAGGAAATACTTGAATTGAGAAAGTAGAGAAGATCGAGTGCCGGCGATGCGTAGACGCATAATTGGAAGTCTACCTACAATAAAATAAATTTTTTTGACCGTCAATTTTTTATGTCTACGGCAATTGTTTGGAGATAAAACCTGTGTATCAGGAAAGAAGTGAGACATCATGTTTAGGAAGACGATAAAAATAGTTTACATAGATGACATGGGCAAACGAATATGCCTGCACGCGCAATTAAACTGGATAAGTAAATTGGCATTTATTCAAAATACATTCCATTTTCAAGTATATTCCATTTTCATATATTTATCACTGTCTGTTTATCTTGATTGCTTAAGCTGAAATTGCGGATGATTAAATTGCGCTAAAATGTACTTACCGTAATAGTGTTTCTCGAAACATTATTTATTTATTTAATATATCGTTATACAAATTTATATCTCTCTCTTTGTATTTAATTATGAAAATTATAATAAACATTCAGAAATGTAGGTAATTAGAATGTAATAATTGAGCTATGTTAAACTGTGTTTGTAATAAAATTCACATATATTGTATAATAATAAGTATAAAAAATACTTGTAAGTATACTAGATTTTTAAAGTAAATTTAAAGTTTTAGCAATATAAGTCATATTACATGAAAGTATAAATTAAAAATTTCATGAACTGTTTTATTTAATCTTAGTTTTTAGTCGCAACATAAAGTCGTGAATATAATAAATCAATGAACATGTAGAGGAAATATATCATTTTTTATAACTTGATGATACTTACAAAAATCTGATCAGTAGGCTTGCCATTATTGTCATATCTGAACAACATATTATTCACGTGACAATCACCATGATTAATAACATTAAATTCGTCTTCACAGACCTTGAATGCATTCACTCCTATTTGATATATGTGATCGGAGAGTTTAGCAATTTTTTCCGAGTATCTGGTAATAAAAATCAAATAAATTTAAAATTATATGAAATTATGTAAAAGTAATATAAATATTTTCTTTAAACAATGCAACTTGTACTTATATTTACAATTTTCTTTATAACATGTTTTCTCTCTTTATATTACTTTTCTTGTGTCACGTATCATGAAATATCTTGTGAACATTAAAAAGTAAAGCAATAAACATTGTCTTAATTAAATGCAAATCTTACTTTTTTACTTCCGGCCAATTCACAATCTCGTCTGCTAAAGCTTTAGTACTCTTAATGAAAATATCTTTCATTTCTGGCGGATGCTGGCTATTAATTATTCCTTTCAAATACATTTCTTTTTGCTTTGGTTCCTAAATATTAAAATATTTATGTTAAAGAATTTATATTAAAGAAGATAAATAGTTATGTTTGTAGTGCGGACTGAAAATTTGCAGTGCCATATATGTAGATCTAGATATACAAAAAATTTACACAATAATTGTAATATCATGAAATTTTCTGACAAATTTAGAGCTGATCGTTTTTTAGAAAAAGTTACGACATAGCCTAGACAACACGAATGTTGAAAAGACATTCTAAAGGAGAATAATCCTTGTATTCGTGCCATTGATCTAAATTCTTAATAATGCAACGAGATGTTGCGATTAATTGTGAGTCGCGCGTGATGATTTACCTTCTCACATAAGGCTACGGAAGTTGCGTGAAACCTGGCAAGACCGCGAATCGCCAATATGGAATGATCTAGGTCAAGACCAGACAAACGATCAGCCATACGAAAACCGAGAGATGCGAGATCTTCGATCACCAGAAGCGTTGGATTTTTATTTTGCACGTAGAGAATCTTCGCGCTCAAGCGGTGCTTCGGTCCTAACAACTTATTCATTTTATCCAGAGTATTTGACATCATCAACATCTCGATATGGAAGACGTCCATTTCTATGACCTGTGATAAGTTTATTTAATATAAACAAATAAAATTCTTTAATCTAACAAGCATGAATTTATTTGTGATATAAAAACTTATACAAAGACCCCTATAAAATTTTTGTGATAGTAGAAAGAGAGAGAGTTTTAAGATTTGTTTTAAAACAAATAATGAACGTTTTCTTTAAATATATGTATGTATATATTCGCTTTTTTAAACTTGACACATAAAAATAATTTTATTTTAGGAGGTTTCTATTTCTTGGGCGAAAAAAGTTGATTATATTTTGAATGTTTTTAACAAAAGTATAATATATATTTGAATTCTGGAATATTATTTTATTATATTTAAATATTATTATCGTTATTTCTTTATTAAATTCGATCAAAAATTACGCCTGCTATCTCTTCTCAAACATGATGCTGCCTCCTCACTAATTAGCAAGATATCTTTGCTTCAGATCATCTGACATATTTTGAAATATAAAAGTTTGATTTTTTATATACATATATATTTATCGTTTGATAAACAGACAAAAAAGAATTGATAGTTGAGAAAATGGCGACTTGTTAAATGTAAATCATCAATTTCGCTCTAAAAATTGGCTCATTTATTTTACAATAAAAATAAAAATATGTATATAACGGATAGTTTTTTTGTCAAACGATAATTATATGTATATAAAATCAAATGCTATCAAACTTTTACATTTTAGATTATCTGGATGGAAGATATCTTGCGAACCAGTGACGAAGGCGGAGCATTATATGTTTGAGGAAAGATGAGACGTACGTAATTTTGATCGAATTAATAAAAAAAACTATTATTTTAACTTATATTTAAGTATAACAAAACAACATTTCAGAATTCAAATGTTTTGTCTCGTATAACTTTCGTCAAAAAGAAATTTCCAAAAGAATCGACTTTTTTTACCTAAAAAATAGGAATCCCTACTTTAATTACTGATTACATAAAAATATTCTAATCTTTCTGTTAAACAAAAATTTATTCCAAAATAATAAAATTTGCTATAATTATGACTCTCTCTCTCTCTCTCTCTCTCTCTCTCTCTCTCTCTCTCTCCTCTTTTTATACTAGAAATATTGTACAAATTAATTACCAGTTTCTGTCGAACACTTTCAAGTACAGGCGAGATTTTGATAACAATTGATTTTTTCTCTTTGATCGTAGAGCCGCGTGAAAATTCGACAGTAATCCTAATCATGTCGCTGAGATAGTTGTCGCCCTTCATTGTGGCCGGTTTTGAAAATATGTCAATCACCTGAATCGAATTGTCGTTTTCCGACTTTCGCAGAATTTTCTCTATGAAGCATTTGTTTAACCATGTCGATGTTTCTAGAGCCATTTCTAAAAGTGGAATTAGAATTGGAGAATTTTCTCGACAAATCATTGTTCTTCCTGCTATGTTACAAAATGCAAAACCGATTCTTTACTATAACTCATTTACGACGAAATTTATTACGTTTCCTTTTTTTCTTCCAACTGGCTTTCGCATTCACATAGTTAAATTAAGAACTTTGTTCTCAGAGTATAAATAATTTAAATGTTTAAATTTTTGTGTCTCCTTATATAAGATATATAGTATTGTATTTCTTGTTAGTTTAAAATAGCGCAACAATTTTTACTACATTGACAAGTTGAAACAATATATTTATTAAAGGGTCTATAGTCTTTAATTTAAGAGATACATTGGAATAGTCGTCATTTGCATTTTGTATTAGATATTTGATTTTTGCAATATTTTATGAATATAGAATCATTTAAAGAAAAAATTATTTATCCAAAATTATTTATATATGGCTCTAAAGTTATTTATAAAAGTACTGTCCTAAGTAAAATTATTCTAAATAAAATTATTTAAAAACTTCTCACTACATAAACATCAATTTAAAAAAACATATATATAACATAACTTCAGTGTTATAATTTCACATTTTACAGTTTAAATATAATATAACACGTATATTACATATCAATGCAAAATTATAACTATTGTTGAGGTTATATTATTTTTAATTAATATTTGCTGTTTTACACTTATTCATAACATTTATGAGTTACATAATGTTTGCAATTTAAACTCCTCTTTTTCTCAAGAATACGAATGCTAGCGCTAAATCACTAAACACCGAGCAACGTCTAAAAGATGTCTTTATGATGCCTTCTAGATATTTTGTAGACATATATGTCCCAGAAGACATTTTTATAATGTCTTTATGACGTTTTTTAGACGTGCATGTTGTCTAAACCATTTTTTTATTTCTTAAATTAAAATTTATAACATATTTTTCCATATATTTTTCGCACACGTATCGTTATGTATTATTTATCTCATATTTTTTGATGCAATATGCACACAGTGTCTCACAATCACAATACTTTCACACGATATTCTATAGGTAAAGTAAAATAAAAATTGTAATACAAAAATATCGATGTTACAATAATTTTTTGAATTACAAGCTAATTTTAAATACTTATATACGTCAGAAACTATTTTACTTTTATTGTCTCTATCATTATTTTTGAATTATTCTAAGACAAAAATCCTAATAAGAAACTGTCAAGGCTATAATAGTTTTTTAATTATAAACTATCTTTGATCAATTATCGAATTCAAAAACTATTGTAGCTTCGACATTTTCGTATTAGGATTTTTAAATTTACCTTTAGAATACACTTTAAAAGTATGTATTGTACGATGGTTGTAAAGTACCTTGTGTATCAAAGAATTCGATATGATGTTTAGGGGGATGTTTGGGACTTCACTCAAAACATTCCTTGATAAACTCTGATTGAATATCAGTATTAAAAGAAAAATAGTCTGCTTTCAGTAGCTGAACTATATTTTTACTAGAACTTAAAGTAAAATAGATATATATTTGATATTTTACGGAAGTTAGAAAAAAAAGTTCTGTAGTCTAGATCTAGTGAAGAAATAAAAAACAGACATAAAGTATTGATAATAAACAATACGCTAAAGTGACTAACCTGAAGTTATTCGTCTTTGAATTCAGTCCTATATTTTTTTAAATACTTGTTATACTTCACTGTGCCGTTTCGTAAAGCCAGCCACAAAATGATACGTACAAAACAGAAGTAACAGGCTTTATATCTACATCGGTACATTCATTTATTCATTCATCATAGGCTTTGTACTTACATCAACGTCTTAGATAACTGTAGAAGCGTAAATATTATACACATGCAGATTTATCCTTCAATCAGACAACAAACGCTGACGGAAATAAAAAAAACGATGATAAGACAAGCACCTATGCGATACCTTTTTGTTAAAAAAATAATTAATGTTATAAAAAAAATCGCATAGTAAACGTTTACGAGATTCGTGCAAATCATATCATTACCTCTGTTTAGTCTTTATCGATAGAGAAATTGTGAAAAAATTCTATAATAATAGCAGCGTGAACTAACGAAAAATTTCGCAATTACGGTATGATGATTCGCTTTAATGCAACAGTTTTGTCAGAATAAAATTTCTAAACGATATTTGTAAAAAAAATACAAAACAACACCAATTCTAAATGATATTTATAAAAAATTAAACAAATTCAATTCGAGGTGTAAATATTTTAATAATTTACTTTTATCATCGATCCGATGTACAACGAACGAAATTTTTCAGCCACGTAGAAACGATGACCGATAGTGTAGCACAAAATCATATAAGATTCTAATTAAATATACTTAAAATAATCAACATGTTAAAAGATAATTTTTACACGCATCCAATTTTTTATTCATTTTATAATTAAATATTTACTAGAGGCTTAATTGTCTTTTGATTTACGCAGAATATATATTCTAAGACGTGTTCTGATCTCTATCTCGATGCTCCTTGAATATCATGTCATTCTTATTCAACATTCGGTAAACAACAACGATAACATGACATCCAGGGAGCACCCAGATGGGAATCTGAACGTGCTCCTACGTGATATTTTTGAGAATATAGAGTTTATCAGTAAAAAAAAATACGTAAAAGAAAAAGATGTGTATATTGTTAAAATATTTATTTCATATATTTGCACAAAAAACACAAATAATGAAAATTTCGAACAGATTATTACAAAGTATATTTATTAATTTTGTACTTATTAAATCACAATATTAAAGTGAAACTGGAATATAATCGATATAATATACATATAATAATATTAATATATAACAAGTAAGAGTTAATATATAATGTATAATACATAACAATATTAATATATAGGTAATACATATATATTGAAATATAGTCAAACTATATTAGTAAATTATTACATCACATTAGTGAACAATAAAAAAACAAATTATAAACTCAAATTATCAGTGTATATCGACAGGTGCTGGGCAGCCGCAAGGTAGGAGATCAGTTACGACACGCTTGCAGCTGTCATTAAATAATACGAGTGCAATATGTCTAATTTGCACTTTTGCACTCAGCATCTTCGTTTTTTCTCTTTTCACACCCGAATATAAATTTATCTCATTTTAAATACAAAAATTTTTAGGGATTCGTGCCAATAAATATATCCAATAAAAAATTATAAAAATCTTAGACTGCTCAAAAAAACCCGCACGGACGCTCCCGAATGACTTTATAGAATAATTCCGCGGAAATACGGACGAATGGCAGCTCTAGCTATAACTATTTATATCTAATATTTTTACTTATTTTCTACATTTATATTTATGTTCCATTTTGATTTTCTATCACTAAATGTGAAGTAAACATTAGAGATCCAGTAAACCCCATTCGTCATACAGTGGCAGTCTTTTTATCATTAACTTTTTATAACTCTCGCTCTTGAAACCTGAATTTATACCAGTGCTCAATAATTCATCCATATCTTTCGCCTCAGTTCTATAGCACAGCATAAACGGTAAAATGGTAAAGGATATTATCATTCCATAGCTAGCTCTTCGTTTCAGAATATCCTTCAGTTCCTTCATAGTGGGCGGTTGCGTCTTGCAGTTCAATTGCTTCATAACTGTTGACAAGGTGCCAAGGTATTCATTTAATAGAATATCGCTTTCATTTTCAATGACATCGAAGGAAAGACTTGAATTGAAAAAATAGAGAAGATCAAGTGCCGGCGATCCGTAGACGCATATTTGAAAGTCTACCTGCAATAAAGTAAATTTTTTTGACTGTCACTCTTTTATGTCTACGGCAATTGTGTTGGAGATAAAATCCGTGCATCAGGAAAGAAGTGAAATATCATGTTCAGGAAGTCGTGACGATAAAGTTAATAGTTACATAGATGACATCGGCAAACGAATATGCCTGAATACGCAATTAAACTGGATAGGTACATTTATACATTCTATCTTCAAGTATCTCATATATTATCACTGTCTGTTTATCTTGATTGCTCAAGCTGAAATTGCGGATCATGAAATTGTGCTAACATTTACTATAATAGTGCATTTCGTTTATTTATTTATTAATTTAATTTATCGTTATGCAAATTTATATTATTGCACTTAATTATAAAAATTATAATAAAAACTCAGAATTTTAGATAATTGGAATAAAATGACTAAGCTATGTAGAATTGTGTTTATAATAAAATTCACATTTGTCTAATTGTAAGTATAAAAAATATATTTTTAAAGTAAATTCAAAGTTTCAGCAATATAAGTCGTATCACACAAAAGTATAATGTACTAACAATTTCACGAATGATTTTGTTTAATCTCAGTTCTTAGTCACTAAATAAAGTCATGATTATAATAAATCAATGAGCATCCATGTTCAGAAGAAGTACATGATTTTTTATGATGTGATGATACTTACAAAAATCTGATCAATGGGTTTCCCATTGTTGTCATATTTGAATAACAAATTGTTAGCATGACAGTCACCATGATTAATAACATTAAATTCGTCTTTACAAAGCTTGGTTGCATTCAATCCTATTTGATGTATCTGATCGGCTAGTTTAGCAATTTTTTCCGAGTATCTAGCAATAAAAATTAAACCAATGTAAACTCGTACGAAAACATGTAAAAATAATGTGAATATTTGCTCTAAACTGTATAATTTGTATCCTCTTATATTTGCAATTTTCTCCTTAACATGTTCTGTCTCTTCATATTAAATTATTATTATCTTATGTCATATATAATAAAATACCTTCAATATTAAAAAGTAAAGCAATAAATATTGTCATTTATGTAAATCTTACTTTTTCACTTCTGGCCAGTTGACAATCTCATCTGCTAAATCTTTAGTACTCTTAATCAAAATATCTCTCATTTCTGGTGGAAGCTGATCATTAAATATTCCTTGCGAACACATCTCTTTTTGCTTTGGTTCCTGATTATTAAAATATTTTTATTAGAGAACATTTAGAGAAAATTGTGTTTATCCATTTATTTTGGAGTGATATAATTTGTAAGGTTGCATCCAATGTATGGGCAGAATTGCCGGATATTTGATTTCTAGCAATATATCTAGCAGAGACTTTATATTGAAATGACGTGTATGTGTATAATGGTACGGATACGTGAAAACATTTTTTTATCACTGATGTAGTTTTTAGAAATATAGTACCGGATATATGACAAATATCCGGTATCCGATCCCGAATTCCGGATATAAAGTTTTCAGGTATTCGTTATTCATCTTATTTCAATATAAAGTTTTGACTCGATATTTTTCCAAAAATCAGATATCCAGCAATACTTTCCGCATATCCGATGCATCCCTAATAATTAGATTTGTAATGCGGGTAAGAAATTTGGAATATCATATGTATAGATCAAACTATACAAGAAATCTCCATAGTAATTTTATATACAATATAATTTCTTTGCAAACTTAGAGCACATTTTTTTTTCGGAGAAAGATACGAGTCAACTTAAACATCTTTAAAATTTTACCAAAAAATGGTTTCTAGAAGAGTTTTACTAGAGCCTCTGAGCAGGTGTGCAAGTAGTGCACTGCAATGCGCAAAGGTGCATTACTCCAAATTAAGTTTCAAAAATAAATATTTCATTCCTGACATTATTTACGGATATTTATTTGTGTCAAATTTAGTTTGTTTTGAAACGAATACTATATATTAATTAAAAGTATCCGTATTACAAAATTTGAAATTATTAATCGGATCACATAGTTTTTTTTTATTTATTTCCCAGAGATACTAAAATCTTTCAGTACGTTCAGAACTATATAATATTCCGAGCAACATCAAAAACACAAATTGAAAAACTGCATCCTCTGTAAAAATATTTCAAACTTATATCAAAAAGTATTTAATTTTAAAAGATTGCTAAATAAATATGCATTATAGGAATTAGGCGACGAAATTTTCTTTGTATAATTACGTCTTATTCACTACAGCGACTCTGGTCTTGAAAATGTTTCTTTTGAGATATCTTTTAAACGGCTTTCAGAAGTCAAACACATTAAAAAATGTATTTACGACACTCTTATAGCAATAAAACTTTTTACCCGCTAGCGACATTATCGCTAAATGAATCCATCGAAGTCTTTCTCGTACCTAAATAAAAAATCTTATACGATAACATTTTAAGTTTATACAATATTAAAAATAAGATTCTTGTGTTTAATATTACATTTATAAATTACTTCTCTGTAAAATTATATAAGATGTGTTACACGTGATTCTAAAACTCTATAAATTTTTCGCAATGCGATGTTCATAAAATGCAACCAAAGTGATGTTTCGTTGATTCCACATAAAATTCTTATATTTAATACTAAGAGCTTTTTATATTTAATATCAACACGAAAATTTGAACTCTAAATGATTCTTGCATTCGTGCCATTGATCCTAATTCTTAATAATTGTAACGAGAATAATTATTACGACTGATGTGAGTCATGCGTGGTAATTTACCTTCTCGCAAAGGGCTACGGAGGCAGCATGAAACCTGGCAATTCCGCGAAGTGCCAATATGGAATGATCTAAATCAAGACCATATATACGATCGGCCATTCGAAAGCCGAGAGACGCAAGATCTTCGATCACCAGAAGCATTGGATATTCATTTTGCATGTGAAGAATCTTCCCGCTCAAGCGGTGCTTTGACCCTAACAACTTATTCATTTTATCCAAAGTATCTGACATCATCAACATTTCGATGTAAAAGAGACCTGCTTGTGTGTCCTGTAACAAATTTATTTAAGATAAACAAGTAAAATCCTTTAATCTAACAAGCATGTGATTATTTGTGTTATAATGGTTTATGTAAGATCTACATAAAATTTGTGTATAGTAGAATGTTTCAAGATTTGAAAAAATTGAAGAATGTTTTCTTTAAATACAAAGTAATGCATATATATTCGCTTTCTTATATGTAACTTATAAAAATTTCATTTTAAACACTCATTATCCAAAAATAATTATCCTAATCTTTCTGTTTAAAAGAAATGTACTGCGAAATAATAAAATTTGTCATAATTCTCTCTTTCTCTCTCTCTCTCTCCTCTCTTCTCTTCTTCTCTCTTTTTCTATCCTCTTCTTTCTTTTGATAGAAACATTGAACATATTAAATTAACTTCTCTCTTTATTAGAAATATTGTACATATTAAACTATCTTACCATTTTCTGTTGAACACCTTCACGCGAGAGCTTGATAATAATTGATTTTTTCTCTTTAATCTTAGAGCCGCGCGAAAATTCGACAGTAATCCTAATCATGTCGCTAGTGTTGTTATCACCCTTCATCGTGGCCGGTTTCGAAAATATATCGATCACCTGAATCGAATTGTCGTTTTCTGACTTTCGCAGAATTTTCTCCACAAAGCATAGATTTAGCCATGTCGGTGTTTCTACGGACATTTCTGAAAGTAGACTTGGAAATGGAGAATTTTCTCGAAAAATGTCCTTTCCTCTGAGGAAAAAGTCGCTATTTAAAAAAGATATTATAATTCAACTTATATGCAGATCACGGGCTGTTAAGCCAATATTTGTTAATTCAAACAAATAACATGTTTTAAATTACAAGATTTTGATGACATGCCTCACATCTATTTTAACTTAAGTATATAAATATTTAAACTCTCTCTCTCTCTCTAGATAATCACTATCAATTATAATAAACGCACTTAATCTAGTTAATAACTAAACTTTTGCTCAGGGTGTAAACACTTTTCAGTGTTTAAATTTTAGTGTTTCTTTAATTTAAGAGATACACAAGAATAGTCGTTATTTACACTCGAATTTTGTATTAGATATATTCAATTTTTTAAATATTATACGTTAAAATGTAAGATTACTTAAAGAAAAAATTATTTATAAAAAATTATTTATATGGCTCTAAAGTTGTCTATAAAAGTGCTATCTTAAGTAAAATTATTCTAAATAAATTTTTAAGAACTTTTTGGTAAACACGAACTAAAAATAACATAATTTCAATATTATAATTTTACATTTTACAATTTAAATACAATTTAAATACAATATAACATAAATTACGTAACAGTTACATTGTTAATTATAAAATTATAACTATTTTATTGATATCATATTACTTTTAATTAATGTTTATTGCATGTTATACCTCCTATATACTGGACGTGATGAGCGACGAGCAATATCCGCCTTTGAAAGCTCCGCCTTTTTGCATGTGACAATGAATAGCAGAATTCTCATCGGATCGCTCGTCGCTCGTCGCTCACCGCGTCCAGTGTGCAATAAGAATTACAATTGTTCGTAACGTTCGCGAGTTACGTAATGTTTGCAATTAAAACTTTTCTTTTCTTAGGATCTCATATTTTCGAAATGCAATGTATATCAAAGAATTCACTATGATGTTTCGATGTTTAGGACTTTATTTAAAATTTTTCTCAATAAACCCCGACTGAATATCAATGTTAAGAGAACAAAAAAGTACTATTTCCTGTAGGTGAACTACACTTTTAGAATCTAAAGTGAAATAGATATATATTTGCTATTTCATGAAAGCGAGAAAAATTTTCTAATGCGCTCTAATGCAAGTACAAAAAAAAACAGATTTAAAGTAGAAATTGATAATAAGCAATACGCTAAAAGTGACTAACCTGAAACTATTCGTCATCGACTTCAGTCGTTTATTTCTCTTACGTCACTATACTGTTTCGTAATGCCAACTTCGAAATGATAACGTAGAACAGAATTTACGGGCTTTATAACTATATGTCGGTACCAGTCGGTACATTAACACACATTTGTTCATTCATCACAGGCTTTATATCGATAAATGTTAAGAATACTCAGTTACTCAAATTTCGATAAAAATATACTCAATCGATGTGTTTTCGAATAAAAATGAAGGTTTGACAAGAAAAAGCGTTGACCTGTCCTATGGATCGTTAAAGCTACTTATGACAACTATTCAGGTTAGAAAATCTGTCACAGCCACGTAAAACTGCATCATGAGTATGTACTGTGATCATTTGTCCAGCATCAATTAATTCCCAAAAATAAATATTCTCTGCTTTAATTACACAAATTCTTAGCTTTACAAATTCTATGTTTTAAAAACACAAATTATTTTTTCATATAATTTTTGTTTTTACAGCGGAGAATTTGTTTTTAACGCAGAGAACTTGTGATTTAAAGCGGAGGATTTGTGTTTTTAAGGGCCGATTGTTTCACTTTTTGGTAAATTTTACCTGTTAGGCAAGTAGCAAGATTATCCAATCACATGCACCAGATTACCAGATTTACCTCACAGGTAAAATTTACCAAAAGATGGAACAACCAGCCCTAAAGCACACTGAAAAAAAAATATAGTCAATTTTAATAAATATTTAGTTCAACACTGCCAACTAAACGTTTACAGTAAATAAATATTTGTTCAGTGAAAAAAAAATTGTTAAATCAAATTAACATTTCTTGTATCAAATAAATGTATCTTTATATTTAATAAATATTTAGTTGACAGTGTTCAACTAAATATTTATCAAAATTGACTATATTTTTTTTCGGTGCAGATAAAAAAACACGGCGGGAAACATCTAAAACGCATGTGCATATGTCCGTAGAAAATGCAACTGCGAGATATGCTCGCATTGTTGTATTTTATGGCTGTTAATTATCTAACCTGAATAGTCATCAACTTTAGCGATTATTATCTCGATTTTCAGAACGACGTACGTCTTTTTTCTTGTCAAAATTATATTTTTAAGCGAAAACGCATTGATTGAGTACAATATTTTTATCGAAATTTAGTGAACGGGTTGTTAATTCATAATTAACATTTACCAAACAATAAATAATAATCTATAATAGAGCAATGATAAAGACGATAGCACGTGCGACGTTTTCCGGTGCAATAGAAAATAAATTGACGTCGTTGCACCATTAAAAAAATTGCATAGTAAACATTATCAAGTTACGACATTCGTGCAAGTCATCATTATCTATGATTAGAGTTTCTATCTTCTCCGAGACAAATTATAAAATTATTCCACAATAATGACCACGAACTAATGAAAAATTGTAATTGCTTCAAGACGATTCATCATATATAACGCGACAGTTTTTTTCAAAATAAAATTTCTAAACGATTTTTTTATTTATAAAACAACATATTCAAAGTTCAAAATCAGAGGATGCATTTCTTCGCAAGAATCACTGAAAAAATTGTAAATATTCTTAACTTAAGAATATCCCACTTATGTATAGTTTTCTTCTAAAATAAGCGCCAAAACGATCCTCTTAATTTAAGAGGGAAATCATCTAAATTATCTAACGTACAGGATGTCCTATTTTAAACGATGATCTCAAATATCTTTTGAACAATACATTTTGGAGAAAAATGTTTCAGACAAAGATTGCATGGTTTTAAGGGGGACATCATAAAAAATCGCGTGAAGCGCGCATGTAACGACGATTGCCTTCACAAATCAAGAATATATTATTAATTTAAGAGGAAATATTTTTATATCTGTTAAAAGGAAATATATATTAAGTACATCTTTCAAGAATACAATTTTTTCATGATGGTGATATAGTACGACTTTATTATACAAATAATAATATATTTTTTATCAGGCGACGCAGGGTCAATTAGAAAACCATCATACAATATATATAGGCAACAATAAAGGACCAGTTGTAAATTTACGATATTCTTTTATTAAATTATTGACTAACAATTTGCAATTTTGGATTTAGCAAAAAATTAGAGAGGCACGCTCTCTCGTAAATAAAATTTCAAATTTACGTACATCATAGGCTCCGATTATTTTATTATTTATTACTTTGTAATTTTTTTCAATTTTTCTTATTTCTCGCATTTTACGTTAATACAATTTAAATATTTTCATTTCGAATCACAATTAATTTACATCGCAATTTTTGGTATTATAGGATAATATTTTATATATCTCTTTTTTGTGTGATAATGTCATTTTCTTTGTTAACATATGTTGAATTAGACAATATCTACATAACAAAACAAAATATGTATGTACGTATATATGCATATACCGTTATCTATGACAAATTGATAAAATATTAAAAAATCACGATTTATTTTAAAACCTTAATGCGTCACAACTAAAATCGTTATAAAAATATAATTGTTTTTACGCACCAAAAATACGTCATTACTCAATCCTACGTTTATTTGTTAAAAAGAAAATTTTTTAAAAATAGACGTCAACATTTATTACAAATTAAAACATCCTCAATTATTATTAATTTTAATGTATTTATTATAACTATTTACAATAATTTACATCTAATATCCTGATTTCCTAAACTTCTATTTTTTTCTACTTAAAATTTCTGTCATTGAATGTGAAGTATACATTAAAGATCCAGCAAACCCCACTCGTCGTACAATGGCAGTCTTTTTATCAATATTTTTTTATAAGTCTCACTTTTTAAACCTGCATTTACACAAGTACCAGTGCCGAATACTTCATTCAAATCTTGCGCCTCAGCTTTACTGCATAGCATAAACGGTAAAACGAGGAAGGACGTTATCATTCCAAAACTCGCTCTTCGTTTTAGGGTAGCCTTCAGTTCCTTCATGGTGGGCGACTGCGTCTTGCAGTTCAATAATTTCATAGTCGTTGTCAAGGTATCAAGATATTCATTTAATAAAACATCTCTCTTGTATTCAATGACATCAAAGGAAATACTTGAATTAAGAAAGTAGAGAAGATCGATAGCCGGTGATCCGTAGACACTTGTTTGGAAGTCTACCTGCGATAAAATAAATTTTTTCGTTCCATCAATATTTTAATTAAGTCTACGGCAATTTTATTGGAGATAAAATCTATACACACACACACACACACACACACACACACCCAGTGAGAAAGAGCGATAGGGGGGGGAGGGGAGTAATGGATTATGTTTATAAAATCGCGAGGACAATGTTGATAGCTCATATGGATATCATCGACAAATATACGTGCATACGCCATTGAACTGTACACAATGCATTTATTCAAAACACATTTCATTTTCAATGATTTTAAATAGTTCATACTATCACCGTCTATTTGCCCGATTGCTCTAGAAATTGCGAATAATTAAATTGCGTTAACATGTACTATAATAGTGTCTTTCGAAACAGTATCTGTTCATTTAATTTGTTGATGTGCAAATTTATATCATTGCATTTATATATATATAACTATGAAAATTATATATAATAAAAATTCAGAAATATAGATAATTAAAATAAAATACCTGACAATGAGCTATGTTAATTTGTGTTTATTATAAAATTTATATTTGTCTCAGTACAAAAGATATATTTTCCAAGTAAATTCGCTATTTCAGCAACACCCCAAATAACATTTATTTTGCATAAGGTGAGCACCTTTTAGATGTCTTATGTCTAAAAGATGTCTAAAAGATATCTTATGCAACATGCATATTATCTGGGATATGTCTTATCACATATAAATACATACTAAAAATTTCACGAATGGTTTTATTTAACTTGGTTCTTATTTAATTTTAGTCGCAATATAAAGTCAGGATTATAATAAAATAATGAGTTTGGAGGAAGCACATGATTTTTTATGACGTAATAGTACTTACAAAAATCAGATCAGTAGGTTGACCATTATTGTCATATTTGAATAACATGTTATTCCCGTGACAATCACCATGATTAATAACATTAAATTCGTCTTCACAGAACTGGGTTGCATCTATTCCTATTTGATACATGTGATCGGAGAGTTTAGCAATTTTTTCCGAGTATCTAGCAATAAAAATCAAATAAACGTAAAATTATATGGAAACATGTAAAAATGATATAAATAGATATTAATCCAAACAGTGTAATTCGTACTTATATTTACAATTTTTTTCTTATCATTTTCTGCCTCTTCATATTAAATAATTATTATCTTATATCATTTACAACAAAATATTTTGAATACTTAAAAATAAAGCAATAAATATTGTCATTTATACAAATCTTACTTTTTCACTTCTGGCCAGTTCATACTCTCGTCTGCTACAGCTTTAACACTATTAATGAGCATTTCTCTTAAATCTGGCAGGCTCTGATTAGAAAATATTCTTTTCATATACATCTCTTTTTGCTTTGGTTCCTAATATTAAAAAAATTAAATATTAAAACCTTTTCATTAAAAAACATTTTGATGTATTTATCATTTGATTATAAAGTTAAGTAATTAGATTTATAGTGCGGAAATTTGAAATATCAAATAGATCAAGCTACATAAGAAATCTACACAATAATTTTAATATATAATTTCTTTACAAAAAAATAGCAGATCTTTTATTCAGAGAAAATTAGGAGACAACTTAGACCGCATGCATTTTGAAAAGATTTTAAAAGAAACATCTTTAAAATTTTATCAAAAAATGATTTTAAGATGACTTTTACTGAAGTCTTAAGCAGGTATGCAAATAGTGCAATGCGCTACGCAAAAATGCATTAATAAGAGGGTACGCTAAATTAAGTTATAAAAACAAATAATTCATTCTCGACACCACATATGAACGTTCTTTCCTATGAAATTTAATATGTTTTGAAATAAATACTGTATACTAATTAAAAGAATACGTATTACAAAATTTGAAATTATTAGTCGGATCGGATAGTTGTTCATTTCCCAGAGATACTAAAATCTTTCAGTACCTACAAAACTATACTCCGAGCCACTTCAGCACCAGAAATACAAATTAAAAATTGCCAAAAAATACTAGTTATGGACTCTTGAAATTGAAATAATATAGTATAATTAAAAAATTGCATCCTCTCTAAGAATATTTGAAAGGTATATGAAAAAGAATTTTGCACAAAAACGCCTTATATGTTATAGGACCTTTTCAGCCTATTTTGTAACGTTTAACTAACAACCTTTCGATTATATGCTTTATATTACGCTGTCGTTACGAAACTTTTTCACCATGTAAAATACCTGCCAACATCTCTAGATAGAAAATTGTCGTTAAAAGTTACAAAATACATCTACTAAACGTAAAAACATTTCTTTATTTAACTTTTGGACGTCTTTCAGAGATAAAACACTTTTTAGACATCTTTAAATCGCTCACCAGTAGCACTATCGATAAATGAATGTATCGAAGTCTTATTTCTTGTAAATAGAAAATCTTACATAATAAAAAGCGCAACATTTTAAGTTTAATATGATATTAAAATGGGATTCTTATATTTAATATTACAATTATAAATTCTTCTCTGTAGAGTTATATAAGATGTGTCACACGTAATCCTAAAATACTACATATTCTTCACAATTGGATCTTTATGAAATGCAAAGTGATGTTCCACTGATTCCACGTATAATTTTTATATTTAATGTTAAGAGCTCTTTATATTTAATATTAACGCATAAAATTGAACTTGGAATAGTTCTTGCATTCGTCAATGTTGTTGATGATCCGAATTTTTAATAATTACAACAAAATGCTGCGACTGATTGTGACTCACGTGTGTGATTTACCTTCTCGTATAGAGCTACGGAGGCTGCGTGAAACATGGCAAGTCTGTGAAGCGCCATTATGGAATGATCTAGGTCAAGACCAGACCAACGATCAGCCATTTGAAAACCGAGAGGCGCGAGATCTTCGATCACCAGAAATACTGGATTTTCATTTTGCATATGGAGAATCTTCGCACTCAAGCGGTTCTTTGTCCCTAATATTTTGTTCATTTTATCCAAAGTATCGGACATCATCGACATCTCTGTGTGAAAGATACCTGTTTGTGTGACCTGTGACAAAGTTATTTAAGATAAATAAGTAAAACCTGTAATCTAATAGGCATGCAATTATTTGTATAATATAAAGGCCTACGTATAAAGATCTATATATATAAAATTTATGTAATAAAAAGTTTCGAGATTTGTTTTGAAACAAATAAAGAATGTCTTCCTTAAATACAAAGTAGTGTACTTTCACTTATGTAAAGTTGATTTAAATTATCCAAAAATAATTATCCTAATCTTCCTTTTGAACAGAAGTGTACTCCAAAATAATAAAGTTTGCCGATTCTCCCCCCCCCCCCTCTCTCTCTCTATTTCTTCCTCTCTTTTTATAGTAGAGACATTGTATGTATATACACATTGGACTAACTTACTAATTTCTGTCGAACACCTTTATCGACAGGCGACAGTTTCACAATAATTGATTTTTTCTCTTTAATTTTAGAGCCGCGTGAATATTCGACAGTAATCCTAATCATGTCGCTAGAGTAGTTGTCACCCTTGACCGTAGCCGGTTTTGAAAATATATCGATAACCTGAATCGAATCGTCGTTTTCCGACTTTCGCAGGATCTTCTCCACAAAGCATTGATTTAGGCATGTCGATGTTTCTAGTGCCATTTCTGAAAGTGTAATTGGAATTAGAGATATTTTTCGAAAAATCATGCCTTTTCACTGTGTTACAGAACACAAAAACATTTTAACTTAAACAATTAATTACAACAGTTCCAATATGTAAAAATATTCAATTGAAATGTATTAGAGGCAGAGCCAATACTGGATGTAAGTTGCTACAATCTATATTTATAAACCGCAAGGAAATTTTTTAGTAGACACATGCTTAAATGACACAGAATTTATTTTTATAATTTAATAGCATGATTATCTTTGTTATTTGTTAATGGAAAATATAAGTCAAATTTAAACAATAAAGGAGCATAAAAGTCAATGCGAGATGACAATGCAATAAATATATTAATTTAATTTACATATGTCTTGATAAACATTTCGACCATATATCTAGTCATCTTCAATATCGCAAACCAAACATATTAACCGCTACTTATAAAATTGTTGTCTACAAAATATTTATAATAATATAAATGTCCGTCACGAATAGAGTCTTCATTCTTTTTGTCTCCTTGTAATACAACGTCGTTGAAAATTATTGTTACTTAATTTTGAAAATATAATGTGATGACGCCTATAATAACCGGCTTTAAGTACCGGGTTATTTGTTACACTTGTTACAGTTACTGGAATCAGTTGTCATACTGATCGTGTAATTAATCGGTAGTTGGTAGTCCTAAGTCTTATCGGTGAAGCTGATCAATAGCCAACTTGTACGATTAACGCTGATTGGCCAACTTCACTGATTAATACTTAGACTTCCGACTACAGACTCATTGTAGAGTCAACATTACAGATCTAGATTTCAAAATATAATGTATATAATTAAAGAAAATATAAAAAAATATACATAACATAACTTTATTAATAAATTTCAGATATTATGATGTGTATAATATGTGATTATTATAGACATATATATTAGATACATATTAATTATAATGTTATTTGAATATTTATAATAATAAGAAACCATTTACATATTTGAATTGTTGCTTAAGCTTAAGCAAAAAATATACTTGAAGACATGAATATATATATTTATGTCTTCAAATATGTTAAACTGTAAGTTATTACTCATAAAGTAAATTTTCTAAAGAAATAGTTGAAATTATGATATATAATAATATATGATATAGTAAATTGAGTAATAAATACTACATTTAATGTTTTTGCAATTTTAAGGATATATACCAACATGCCCTATGTATCATCTATCCTTTATTTATTAGATATTTCATAAAAGTGAGAAAAAAGTTCTAATACTGCAGTTTAATGCAGAAATAAAAAACGGACCTAAAAAAAGTATTGATAAAAAGCATTACACTAAAAAACTAACCTGACGTTTTATTCGTCTTCGTCTTCAGTCGTTAATTTCTCTTATATTATTTCACAGTTCCGTTTTGTAAGTCAACTTTAAAATGATACACGCGGGACTAAATTTACAGGCTTTATATCTGCATTGTTATATTCATTTATCACATGCTTGATATCTACATTATAGAATCTTTAATAAGTTATTTTAATGTTATTCTTGATTAGATCAACATCAGACTCGTGGATATTGGTTCTCCAATCAAGCAATAAGTGCTACATCTGCAGGATAATAAGCGATAACAAGCGATAATATAAGCAATAACAACGATGATATGACGATAACACGTACGATATGCAGAAAAATAATTAACGTACGTCACTGAACTATAAAAAAATTGCACATTAAACGATATTATGATATATGTGCAAGTCATCGTTACTTTTGTTTAGTCCTTATCTTCACCAATAGATAAATTGTGATAAAATTTCAAAATAACACTATGAATTGATGAAAAATTGCGCAATCGCGCTAAGACGATTCAATATTATGCAACGGTTTTGTCAGAATAAAATGTTTAATATTTGAAAAAAATTAAACAATATCAATTATAATAATATTTGTGAAAAAATAAATTAATTTAATTTGAGGTATAAATAATTTAATAATTTATATTTATCATTATTTCGATGTGTAACAGGTAAAATTTTTCGTAATTACCATGATCGATATTGTTGCACAAAATCATAAGATTTTAATTCAATATACCCTCGAAATAGTCAACGTTTCATAGTTCTTAGGCGCATCGAATTTTATAATCATTTTACAATTACATATTTATTAGAGGCATTTGTTTTTCGATTTATTGTGGAATATATATACATTCTACGTGATATTTTTACAGAATTGAGAACAAAGAATTTGTCAGTACAAAAAAGATACATAAGAGAAAAGACGTGTATGTTGTAAAAATATTTATTTCACGTATATGCATAAAAAATAAAAATAATGAAAATTTACAAAAAAGACCGCGCAAAAGAAAATTATTTACTGCGTAAAAAATAATATCACGTAAAAAAATTAAAGAATGAACGTAGAATATAATTACCTATATTTTCGAAAAAAAATCTCAGAAACAATTTTATAAACTTTTATAAAATTTAGATGAGTTTAGATTCTTTTTTTAAATATTAATTTATTGGAATAAAAACAGTTTGAATAACTAAGAGAATGAGCTATTATTCAAATATAGATAAAAAGCACTTCTAAGTTGTTCCGCCGATACCTGATATTTCTCCTTCTCTTCTCAGGATTGGATTATCATTCTCTTGCAAAAAACATTCGTGGATAATAAATTAAATCGTGCGCGCATTAATAATTAATAAAAGTCTTTCTCGCAATACTGCAATATTCCTTATTTATAACTTCCATAATAGGATTCCAAATCAATTGGTAGAATCAACACTTCGGCGAGCATTTAAGTCAATTCTTAAAATTAAGATCATATTAAGTATTTTAAGCTGTCATAAATTAATCACAGGACTTAACTTTTTAAAACATTTCTTAAGTTAATTTTTCTAGAATAAACACTATGAATACCTTAAAATCGACGAATATAATCCAGTATGTACAAGACACACGATAAATGCCGACGTTGCAATGATCGTGGCTATTCAATAATGCCTCAATGTGAGTTGTACTTTTTGCCAAAACATCGAAGATATAATCCCACCAGCTCGAATTAGTTTTTATCAAATGTCTAGTCATGAAAAATTCATTAATCCTATAATTTCAACGGCACTCTCGAGACAGACGTGCGATGCGAAATATCAATTTTGTGTTTCGCTCATTTAAATCAATGACTACAGTACGTCAGCTACCCCGTCGTTAAATTTTTATATAAGGATTATGATATTTCTCAAATATCTAAAAATTTAGCTATATACTAATATAATTTAGATATATGTGAAAATTTTGAGGCATAAAGAAGGTTTATTTTTATTATGTGTATATCCTTAAAACTTAAAGTACCAAATTTTGTCACTTCGTCAAAGTTGTACACTTGGGAGGGAAAGTATCGTTTGAAATATAATATTAATAGTTTATTTGTAAAAATGATCGAATGTCAAGCAAACGTTTGTTTATCACCAGTGCAACTAAACAAATTCAGAGTACAGTCTGTTCAATAAAAAAGTGTCTGCCATAATCAAAAAAATATAAAAATTTAGACTAATTTTTTTTTTTTATTGAAGTATTCATTATTAGCTACTGTGCAATTACCTAATATCGTGTCCAATCACCTCCATTACTGATTATTGCTTGACACCTTTTTTCCATACTTTCGACGAGCTTTTTTGCATATTCGTTTGGCAAAGATCGCCATACCTTCTTAATTTGAATTGACAGCTACTTCACCTTGTACACTGGCTTTCCTTTGAGTTTCATCTTCATGTACGACCACACATTTTCAATGGGATTAACATTTGGGGACATTGCCGGCCATTCCATCGTCGTGACGTTATTTTCATCTTTCCACGCTCTGCACAGTTTGCTGCGATGTTTAGGATAATTTGTCTTCTTGTAACATCCAACTTATTCTATCAGAACCATAAAACTTTTCAGCAAACTATATAAACTATATACTGCGCAAGAGAGCACGCAATAAGGCGTCGTCTACAATACACGGAGTAAGAAGTAAGAGTAAGAAATTGACCAATCACAGTCGAATGTGAGAAGAATAATCGACTGTGATTGGTCAATTTCTTACTCTTACTTCTTACTCCGTGTATTGTAGACGGGCCTTAAAGGTTCAACTGAGTTCAGGAAGATGTTGCTGCGGTCGCTCTTTGTGGAATAACGAGCGTCACTTTCTTATTGAACAGACTGTAGGTAGAAAAGGTAAACTTTTCATTATAGTTTCTGTAAGATGTGATTACGACATCAATCGAGTTGGCCAGATATTAATAAGAATGAAAAAATTCTTTAATTTATTTCCGGTTTACTGTCATTGTCGGTAAACAATTATAAAATTCTCAAACGCTTAATTTTTATACGTTTTCGTCGATATCGCGAAAGACGCAAGAAAACGACAAATTAGTTAAATTGTTATTAATTACGCAAACTGTATTAATTGTGGAATCGCATGAATTGCGTTATTTGCGTAATGTTATTTATTAACGTTACTTTATTTCTAATTTATATGATACAGTTAAAAATGTATAGAGATATGTATAGCGATTCAAACGGAAGACAAATTTTGTATTAACCAAAAATAACTATCGCAAACCTTCACGAAACAGTTATAAATCCTATTTTTTATGGTGTTTCATTTCTAAATGATTAAACTGCATGAAACGTCTATGATATGTGAGTTATCATCTCGATCCATTTACGAAATCAACTAACAACCGTGCAAGCTACTAATTGTGTGCACGATTGTGTAATATACGACATTTCGTATTTCTAACACTAATCGCGATTGCGTTCCAAAAATAAAATACTAAAGATATTCAGAGTGACACTGACCTGGCCGGAACAAGAGTTCAAAGTCGAGTAACAGCACGCTGACAGTACGTAAACAATACGCCACACAGAGGCTGCGGTCCACTTGCTTCTTCCAAATACTCTGAATGTTACGCTCCAAACGCTACGCTTCGATAGGTTTTATTCATTACTATTTCGAATGCTATAATTGCTACGTGAACATTCCAGCCAACCCACCTCCCGATATAAGACAGTTCGAGCGAAGTGGGAGCAAAAACTAAGACGTATTGATGACGTAATCAGAGTTTCTGGGAGCGTTCTGAAGCATCAAATGGACCAGTCATTGCTGCAAATGCATTTGCAGCGTTTGAAGCACTAAGTGGACCGCAGCCAGAAACGGATACTAAAGCCACGCGCCAATCCTCCTGTTTTTTGAAAATATAAAGTTTTGTAAAATATCGAACAAATATTTTATTCCTACAGATTAGTTGCACTTGATTATTATTGTATATTTCTGTTTCATTCTATGAACTGATCGATATCATTTAAGATATCCTTATTATACGACGATTGTACTCACTGAGTGATGGAGGGAAGAGAATTGTCATTGGCGAGAAAAGTAAGTGCAACACTTGCTTCAGTTCAAATTCAATTCAATAATAAAATAAATTTAATATTAAAAACTTGCTAGTAATGATTAAGTTAATCAATAATAATTGATTACAATAATTGTACGTGACGTAGTCTTGCACATAAGAAATCAGAAAATGAATTTAACTGATCGTCAGCAAAATTAAACGTTTTAGAATGTTTCTTTTTTTGAAACTGATTTGAACAATTTGCAATTTTAGACTCAGCAAAAATTAGAAAAAAGATCTCAGAACTTACGTAGACCATACAGGGTCCGATTATTTTATTACGTATGACTTTGTAATTTTTTTCAATTTTTCTTGTGTGCATTCTCTCTTATATGTTAATACAACCTAAAATACTTTATTTTTTATCTTAATTAATTTATGTATTATTTTTGGTATCATAGGATAATATTATATACATCTCTTTTAACGACATTTTCTTTGTTAATATATAAGGAACAGACTTTGAAAATATGCGTTTTTTGTCCAAAATTTATAATTTTTAGAAAACGAGAAGAAAACTGTAATAATTTGTCAATCAGTAGGATATAAAGTGTTTAACAAAATTGCTAAACAATGGCTAAAAATCTTAAACAAATACATATTGTTTGTCTCTAGTTAAAGGACATAATGCATTTCGAATGTCAAGATTTTTTTTAGCACATAAATTGATGGTGTATAAGCCTTTCAGATCATCGTAGTGTATCCTAAAATTTAAATTTCTAAATACTGAACACTATGCCATCTGTAACTCGATAAATAAAATTTTGGACAAAATGCATTTTGGAAGTCTGTTCTTGATATGTTGAATTTAAGCAGTATTTATGTAACAAAATAAAATGTATCTACGTATATGTATATACACCGTCATCTCTGATATGTTGATAGAATATTTAAAAAATCATTTATTTTAAAACTTCAACGAGTCAAAAGTGAAACTATCATAAAAAAAATATTTTTTAATTTTTCGAAAATATCATTATATACAATTTCACGTTTATTTGTTTTTAAAAAAACCCTTTTTTAAAATAGCACGTTAACGTTTTTCGCCTATTATTATTAATTTTAACATATTTGTTACATTTACATACAATATCCTTATTTTCTAGACTTTTATTTTTTTTCTATTTTAATATTCTATCATTGAATGTGAATTATTAGAGGTCCAGTAAACCCCACTCGTCGTACAGTGGCAGTCTTTTTATCAATATTTCTTTAAAGCTCTCACTCTTTAAACCTGGATTTATATAAGTACTAGTGCCCATAATTTCATCCAAATCTTTCGCCTCAGTTTTACTGCACAGCATAAACGGTAAAATGGTGATAGATGTCATCATTCCATAGCTAGCTTTTCGTTTTATGGAAGCCTTTAGTTCTTTCATACTGGGCGGCTGGGTCTTGCAATTTAATTGTTTCATAGTCGTTGACAAGGTGTCAAGATATTCGTTTAATAAAATATCTGTCTTGTGTTCAATAACATCGAAGGAAATACTAGCATTGAGTAAATAGATAAGATCGAGTGCCGCCGATGCATAGACACACATTTGAAAGTCTACCTGCAATATTAAATAAATATTTTCGATCCATGAATTTTTTTAATTTTTCAATTATATTGGAAATAAAATCTGTGCATCACACACATACGCGCTCGCGCGCTTATATGGATTACATCGGTAGACGAATATGCCTACACAATTTTATAATGAATATAATGCATTTATTCAAAACACATTCCATTTTCAAGTATTTCATACCGTCACCGACTATTTGTTTTGATTGCTCTAGCTAAAATTGCAGATAATTAAATTATGCAAACATGTATCGTAATAATGTTTTTCAGAGCATTACTTATTTATTTAATTTTGTTATGTAAAATTTATATCATTATACTTAATTATGAAAACTGTAATAAAAATTCAGAAATATGGATAATTGGAATAAAGCGACTAAACTATTAAATTGTGTTTATGACAAAATTTACATTTGTCTAAGCATAAATGATATATTTTTAAAGTATAAATTCTCTGTTTCAACAACATAAATGATTGCATCTCATGTAAGTATAAACTAAAAATTTCACGATTGGTTTTGTTTAGTCTTAATTCGCGATCGCAATATAAATACGTGATTATAATAAATCAATGGAAATTCTTATTTAGAGGAAGTACATGATTTTTTATGACGAGATGGTACTTACAAAAATCTGATCAGTAGGTTTGCCATTGTTGTCATATTTAAATAACATATTGATCACGGAACAATCACCATGAGTAATAACATTAAATTCGTCATCGCAGAGCTTCTGTGCATCTATTCCTATTTGGTACATGTGATCGGAAAGTTTAGCAATTTTTTCCGAGTATCTGGCAATAAAAACCGACCAAATGTAAAATTATATTCAAAAAACTCTCTTATGTAAAGATAATATAAATATTTGCACTGAACAATGCAATTTGTATTTATATTTACAATTTTCTTCTTAACATGATCTTTCTCTTCATATTAAATATATCTATCTAATGTCATGTATCACATAGAATATCGTAAACATTAATCAAAAAGTAAAGTAATAAATATTGTCATAAATACAAATCTTACTTTTTCGCTTCTGGCCAGTTTGCAATCTCATCTGCTACAGTTTTAGTACCCATATTGAAGAAAGATTTCATTTCTGGCGAGTGTTGATTATAAAACATTCCTTTTGAATACATTTCTTTTTGCTTCGGGTTCTAAGTATTAGAATATTTTTATTAAAGTATATAATACGAGTATTTCAATGTATTTGATTATAAAGTTAAATGACTATGTAGGTTTGTAGTGGGGACAAGTAATTCAGATTACCATAAAGATCAATAACTATCCAAGAAATCTATACAGTAATATACAATTTCTTCAGGAATTTAAGGCATATATTTTTTGGAGAATGTAACGAGAGAGCCTAGTACGCATGTCGAAAAAATTTTACAAGGGACGTCTTTAATTTTTTAACAAATTTTTATTAGATCTGCTGAGGTGAGCGTGTGCAAGTTGTACATTGCGCAAAAGTGTATTTATAAAAAAGTACGCCAAATTAAATTTAAAAAATTTTGTAATGAAGTATAAGGCTAATAAGAGTCAAACAATAAATTCTTACGATTAAGTCAACACAAATGTATTCATTATAAAAAGTATATAAAATATAAAATTAAAAACGCTACAAAAAACTTCAACGATACGGAATACAATGCATTACATGTTTCGGTCATATATTTAGGCCCTCTTCAGATGTACAAAATCCAAAAGCAGAAAATCAATAAAACTAAGTCATCGACGGAATTGTTAAAAAATAATAAGATGAGAGTTTTCTCAGAGAAACGGAATAGCTCGTCAAGCGATTGGATGACCGTTTGCGAAAGTTTCTCATTGTTCTAGTGAAAACATAAAATTATATTATATGTATCAGAACTATAATATAAGACTAAGATAGAACGTCTCACTGGTAAAAAAAACTCATCTCTGAGCTCACAAAAAATTGAAATTGAAAAAATCCATGTCAGAAATAAAATAATTGTCACTAATATGATGTCAGCGGGGGTAAAGGTTTAATATCATATTCTAAGTGTATAACGTCAGAGATATAAAGAGAAGAATACCGTCAGTCTGTACTTTTTATAATGAATACATTTCCGTTAATTTAACTGTAAGAATTTATTGTTGTTTGACTCTTATTAGCCTTCATTACATTGTTCCTTGAATATTAAGAGTCCTGTAAATTTGTACTATTAAAACATTTTTTTTCCTAGCACCATTAATGGGTATTCGTTTCTGATAAATTTAATTTGTTTCGAAATGAATACTGTATACTAATTAAAAATATTTATATTATAAAATTTGAAATTCTTATTCGGATTGGATGATTGCCCGGGAAAATATATTTCATATATAATTATATTTAATATTAAGAGTCTTTTATGTTTAATATTAATGCGTAAATTTCATCTTTCAATGGCCCTTGCACTCATTCCATTGATCCGAATTCTTAATAATTGCATTGAGACGTTGCAACTAATTGCCAGTCACGCGCGTGGTGATTTACCTTCTCGCATAAGACAACTGAGGCTGCATGAAACCTGGCAAGTCCGCGAAATGCCAATAGAGAATGATCTAAGTCAAGACCAGATAAACGGTCAGCCATTCGAAAACCAAGAGATGCGAGATCTTCGATCACTAGAAGCGTTGGATTTTCATTTTGCACATAGAGAATCTTCGCACTCAAGCGGTGCTTCGGTCCTAACAACTTATTCATTTTATCCAAAGTATCCGACATCATCGACATCTCTGTGTGAAAGAGACCTGCTTGTGTGACCTGTGACAAATTTAAGGTAAATAAGTAAAATCTTTTATCTAACAGGAATGCAATTATTTGTAATATAAAGGCCAACGTAAAGATCTATATATAAAATTTACATAGTACAATGTTTCGAGATTGGTTTTGAAACAAATAAAGAATGTCTTCCTTAAATACAAAGTAGTGTACTTTCACTTAAATCGTAAAGTTGACTTAAATCACTGATTATCCAAAAATAATTGTCCTAATCTTCCTGTTGAACAGAAGTGTACTCCAAAATAATAAAATTTGCCAATTCTCTCTCTCTCTCTCTCTCTCTCTCTCTATCTCTATCATCCCCTCTCTTTTGATATTAGAAACATTATACATATTAAAGTAACTTTTCCTGCTCTATTAAAAACATTGCACACATTAAATTAACTTACGATCTTCTGTCGAACACCGTGTACAGGAGAGAGTTTGATAATAATTGATTTTTTCTCTTTAATCTTAGAGTCGCGTGAATATTCGGCAGTAATCCTAATCATGTCGCTAGTGTAATTGTCACCCTTGCTTGTAGCCGGTTTCGAAACTATGTCGGTCACTTGAATCGAATCGTCGTTTTCCGACTTTCGCAGAATCTTTTCCACAAAGCATAGATTTAGCCATGTCGATGTTTCTAGCGCCATTTCTGAAAGTGGAATTGGAATTAGAAATATTTCTCGAAAAATGTCCTTTTCGCTGTGTTACAAAACACAAAAACAATTTAACTTAAACAATTAATAACAGTTCCAATATGTAAAAACATTCAATTAAAATGTATTAGAGGCTGAGAGCCAATACTGCCATGGATGTAAGAGTTGTTAAATTTTGTATTTTAAACCCGCAAGGAAATTTCTCAGTAGTCACATGCTTACAGTACAGAAGTTATTTTTGTACTTTAATAGCATGATTATCTTTGTTATTTGTTCGTAGAAAATATATAAGGTAATGACGTCTGTAACAACTGGCTCTAAGTACCGGGTTAATTGTTACATTTGTTACAATTACTGGAATCAGTTGTCATGCTGATCCTGTAATAAGTCGATAGTCGGTAGTCCTAAGTCTTATCGGTGAAGCTGACCAATAGCCAACTTGTATGATTAACGCTTATTGGTCAACTTCACTGATTAATACTTAGACTTCCAACTGCAGACTCATTGTAGCATCAACATTACAGATCTAGATTTCAAAATATAACGCATATAATTAAAGAAAATATAAAAAAATGTGCATAATATAACTTTATTAATAATTTTCAGATATTATGCGTATGTGTGACTTGTATAGGTACATATTAACTATAATGTCATTTGAATATTTATAGTAATAAGAGACTATATTTATATATTTGAATTGTTGCTTAAGCTTAAGCAAGAAGTATATTTGAAGACATGAATACAGATATTTATGTCTCCAAATATATTAAACTGTAATTTATTACTCATAAAGTAAATTTTCTAAAGAAATATTTGAAATTATGGTATATAATAATTTATGATACACTAAACAGAGCAATAAATACTACACACGCGCACACACAACACATTTAATGTTTTTGCAATTTTAAGTATATATCATGCACTGTGTATCAACTATCCTTTATTTATTAGATATTTCGTGAAAGTAAGAAAAAAGTTCTAATGCTACATTTTAATGCAGAAATAAAAAATGGACCTGAAGTATTGATAAAATGCACTACACTAATAGAACTGATCTGACTTTATATTCGTCTTAGTCTTCAGTCGTTAATTTCTCTTAAATTATTTCACTGTTCCCTTTCATAAATCAGCTTTAAAATGATACACGCGGTACTGAATTTTCAGGTTTTATATCTGCATTATATTCATTTATCACATACTAGATATCTACATTAGAATCTTAAATAACTGAGATTATTTTTGACTCGATCAACATTAAACTTATGCAGATTGGTTCTTCACTCAAATAATAAGCGCTAAATCTATAGGGTGATGATAAGACAATAACGCGTGTAATGTTTTCCGGTGCAGAAAAATAATTAACGTTCCACGTTTCACTATAAAAAAATCGCACTGTAAACGTTACGATATGTGTGCAAGTCATCATTAGTTGTTTAGTCTTTACTTTCACCAACAGACAATTAATTGTGATAAGATTCCAAAATGACAGTATGAACTAATGAAAAATTTCGCAACTGCGCTAAGATGGTTCGCTATAATGCAACAGTTTCGTCAGAATAAAATTTTTAATGATATTTGAAAAAAATTAAACAATATCAATTATAAATAATATTTGTGAAAAATTTAATTAATTCAATTTGAGGTGTAAATATTTTAATAATTTATATTTATCATTGTACCGATGTGTAACAGGTGAAATGTTTCGTAATTACCATAATCGATATTGTTGCACAAAAAAAAAATCATGAGATTTTAATTCAATATACCCTCGAAATAGTCAACGTTTCTTAGACCCATCGAATTTTATAATCATTTTACAATTACATATTTATTAGAGGCATTTGTTTATCGATTTATCGTGGAATATGCATTCTACGCGATATTTTTACAGAATTGAGAGCAAAGAATTTGTGAGTACAAAAAAAATACATAAGAGAAAAGACATGTATGTTGTAAAAATATTTATTTCACGTACATGCATAAAAAATAAAAATAATGAAAATTTATATAAAATACCGCGTAAAAGAAAGTTATTTACTGCGTATAAAAAATAGTATCACGTAAAAAATTGAAGAATAAACGTAGAATATAATTATCTTATATTTTCCGAAAAAAATCTCAGAAACAAGAAAAAACTTTTATAAAATTTAGATGCGTTTTCTCTTCCTAAATATTAATTTATCGGGATAAAAACAGTTTGAATAACTGACAAAATGAGCTATTATTTATATATAGATAAAAAGTATTTCTAGGTTGTTCCGCCGGTACTTGATGCTTCTCCTTCTCCTCTTAGGATTGGATTATCATCCTTTTGCAAAAAACACTTGTGGATAATAAATTAAATCGTGCGCGCATTAATTATTAATAAAAATCTTTCTTGCAATACTGCAATACTCCTTGTTTATAAAATCCATGATAGAATTCCAAATCGGTTGATGGAATCAACACTTCGGCGAGCATTTAAGTCAATTCTTATATTTAAGATCATATTAAGTATTTTAAGATCTCATAAATTAATCACAGGACTTAACTTTTTAAAACATTTCTTAGGTTAATTTTTCTAGAGTAAACACTATGAATACCTTAAAATCGACGAATATAATCGAGTATGTACAAGACACACGATAAATGCCGACGTTGCAATGATCGTGGCTATTCAATAATGCCTCATTGTAAGTCGTACTTTTTGCCAAAACATCAAAGATATAATCCCACCAGCTCGAATTAGTTTTTCATCAAATGTCGAGTCGTGAATAGTACATTAATCCGTTTATCACCAGTGCAACTAAACAAATTCAGAGTAGGTGGAAAAGATAAACTTTTTATTATAGTTTCTGTAAGATGTGAATACGATATCAATCGAGTTAGCCAGATATTTAAAAAATGAAAAATAATACTTTGATTTATTTCCGATTTACTGTCATTGTTGGTAAACAATCATAAAATTCTCAAACGCTTAATTTTTATACGTTTTCGTCGATATCGCGAAAGACGCACAAAAACGAGAAATTAGTTAAATTGTTATTAATTACACAAGCTGTATTAATTGTGGAATCGCATGAATTGTGTTATTTGCGTAATGTTATTTATTAACGTTACTTTACTTTTAATTTATATGATGCAGTTAAAAATGTATAGAGATATGTATAGAGATTTAAACGAAAGAAAAATTTTGTATTAAACACAAAAATATCTATCATAAACCGTCACGAAACAATTATAATCCAATTTTTTATGATGTTTCATTTCTAAATGATTAAACTGCATGAAACGTCTATGATATATGAGTTATCATCTCGATCCATTTACAAAATCAACTAACAACCGTGCAAGGTAGTAATTGTGTGAACGGTTGTGTAATATACGATGTTTCGTATTATCTAACACTTATCGCGATTGCGTTCCAAAAATATAATACCGGAAATATTCGGAGCGACACTGACCTGCCGGAACAAGAGTTCAAAGTTAAGTGACAGCATGCCGACAGTACGTAAATAATACGTCACACTGCAGAAGCTGCGATCCACTTGCTTCTTCCAAATGCTCTGAACGTTACACTCCAAACGTTACACTCCGATTGGTTCATTACTATTTCGAATGCTACAATTGCTATGTGAACGCTCCAGCCAACCCACCTACCGAGGTGTGGCAGTTGGAGCGAAGTGGGAGCAAAAACTAAGACGTATTGATGACGTAATCAGAGTTTCTGGAAGCGTTCCGAAGCATCAAATGGACCAGTTATATCAGTGCTACAAATGCTCTGTAGCGTTTGAAGCGCTAAGTGGACAGCAGTCAGAAACAGATACTAAAGCCACGCCCCAATCCTCCTGGTTTTTGAAAATATAAAGTTTTGTAAAATATCAATTAAATATTTTTTTCCTACAGATTAATTGCACTTGATTATTATTGTATATTTCTGTTTCATTCTATGAACTGATCGATATCATTTGATTTTAAGATATCCTTATTATACGGCGATTGTACTCACTGAGGGATGGAGGGAAGAGAATTGTCATTGGCGAGAAAAACAAGTGTAACACTTGCCTCAGTTCAAATTAAATTTAATAATAAAATAAATTTTATATTAAAAATTTACTATTAATAATTAATTTAATCAATAATAATCGATTACAATAATTGTACGTAACGTAGACTTGCACATAAGAAATCATAAAATGAATTTAACTGATCGTCAGCAAAATTAAACGTTTTAGAATGTTTCTTTTTTTGAAACTGATTTGAACAATTTGCAATTTTAGACTCAGCAAAAATTAGAGAAAAGATCTAACTTACATAGACCATACAGAGTTCGGTTATTTTATTACGTATTACTTTGTAATTTTTTCCAATTTTTCTTGTGCGCATTGTAATATGTTAATACAACCTAAAATACTTTATTTTTTATCTTAATTAATTTATATATCATTTTTGGTACCATGGAATAATATTATATACATTTGTTTTAACATATTAATTTTCTTTGTTAATATATAAGGTACAGACTTTGAAAATGCGTTTCGTCCAAAATTTATAATTCTCAGAAAACGAGAAGAAAGGCACAAGAAAACTGCAATTTGTCAATCAGTAAGATATGAAGTATTCAACAAAATTGCTAAACAATGGCTAAAAATCTTAAACAAATACATATTGTTTGTCTCTAGTTAAAAAACATAATGCATTTCGAATGTCAATATTTTTTTTAGCACATAAATTGATGGTGTAGAAATCTTTTAGATCATCGTAGTGTATCTTAGAATTTAAGTCTCTAAATACTGAACACTATGTCATCTGTAACTCGATAAATAAAATTTCGGACAAAATACATTTTGGAAGTCTGCTCTTGATATGTTGAATTAAGCAGTATTTACGTAACAAAACGATGTATCTACGTATATGTGTATACACCGTCATCTCTTATATGTTGATAGAATATTTAAAAAATCACGATTTATTTTGAAACTTTAACGTCAAAGGTAAAACTATCATAA